TTGAACCATTCTAATTTTCAGACGTCTGTGGGTCTTGCTATTCCACGAAAAGGAAGCGTTCTATGACATCACAATCGAAAATGCTTAGTTTTAGTGACATACTATCTACAATATTTTGAAATATATTAGTGGACTGTTTTTTTCAGATTTTCAGTGGTCGATAATTAAGAATAAAGATCTGATATCCTGAACTATGATAATTTGGATTATTAGTAGCTGAAGTAAGTAGATTTATTCTCAATTTTAATTTGTTTACCTGATTGTTCACACCTATATTGATGTTTTTTTTATGTTTGTCATATACTTGATCATTGAAATAAAATTAACATCAAGATCATGTAAGAAAAAACTTAATGGACACATTTATCTAGATTTTGGTGTATAAGTATCATAATTTGAGCCCAAAATTTTTCAATTTACTTAAAGAATCAGACTGCCCCAAAGGATTTGTGTTCAATAGAATGATCTCACAACTATATCAGTCACAACTGTAACTCTGAACACATTATTTCCTGAAATCAGCTCACACGCTTATTTTAGTTAAAGGGACAGAATCGCCATTCGTTTGACTAATCATATCTTAGACTCAGCTATTGTTCACAGCTAACTGTTTAAATTTGAAAATTTGAGCCTGTGTGTCCAGAATAATCAGCGTTTAAAAGTTAAAAAGACAAGTCATCTTTTTTTTTTTAGGACTCCTAATTTGACGTGTTTTTGAAGGAATTATGTGAATTTAGTACAATTTTAGGGCTACTGAAGACTATTGACATATATTCAGTCAATCAACCCCTGAAAAATGGCGAATCTGTCACATAAAAGTGTTGATCTTTCTTTTAAGTTTTATTGAAAAAATTATGAAATAATATTTAAATAAAATTCTAAACTTGATGTAATATTATTCAGAAGGTAATTTTGTGGGTCACCATTGCGACCTTCTACAGAGTTGAAAGTCAGACATGTTTATTTTTTAAATATTTTGATAAAAAAAAACGAGTTGGTTTATTTGAATAAGAAATTTTAAGATTAAACAGCCCCCATTCAGAGAGGTATTGCTAATTCCTAACTATTGTTTACAATGACCTCTAAAGAGAATCCTAGTAACACAGGTATATTTCACTATTCAAGCTCACTATGAAGGTCATCAAATAGTTTGACTTATACTCTTGTTTAATGAATTGAAATGGAGTTTTACTGTTCTACACCTTATTGAATTTTAGTCTTGAATGTATAACTTTAGAAATATATGGATTTTAATTTATTACAGATTAAACTAAAAAATTCCTATTTCTAAGACTAAAGAACAATTGGTCGACTGATGGTGATTCTGTCCCTTTAACTTTTAATTTGGAATGATGCTATCTCAATATTGTGATTAAGATCAAAGGTATGATGAATCATCTAAGGCCACACCAATTTAATTAGTTGAATTACGGGCAAAACTTTTGAAAAAAGCAGGGAGCAGGGGGGGATAAAAATAAAAAAAAAAAAAATCTGCATTTCAAGAAGACGAAAAAGGAATGTATTTAAAACTTTATTTATATCCTTTGGAAACAAACAAACAAACACCAGATTAAACCTTATGGAGCGCGTCAACAAATTACCAACATTTTCGTCATCAGAGGCACGCACTATAGTTCGTTTTGTGACACGGCCCTCGGTACATATGGAGACGTTGATATAAACATCGAGTTCAACGCTCATTTTCTCACATTTTCACATAGATGTATTTTCATCACAACAATTGAATAATGGCCGACGAGAGAATTTTTACAAAATTTGCAGACTGGAACGAACCAAATGACAAATCATGTGTTGTTGGTTTATTTTATTTTTTGAAAGGCTTTTCCACATTTCCAGAACTAATCTCATAATACAACAAATTTTAAAACTATCTAGCCAACAATCAACATATTACAAACCAATTTATCTTTCGAATGAAAATAGCTTCGGTTCAAGATTTATTTTAGAAATTTGCAGGCACCTCATTTTCATAGTCGTACTTGCTTTGTAGTACCGTTATCAAAAACATTGTGGAACTAGCCTTTTGTCTCATTAACACTGACTGACCATTCAACAGTGAACGCTTTCGCTAAGCGAGTACAACTTATCAACCGGGTTACGTCCCTTTAGGATTTCGTGTTGAAATTTTTACATTGGCGGACACAGTAAGAATAAAAAAAAATAGATTTTTTCATTTTTATTGGGATTCGTCAAAAAAGCAGGTCGGCGGGCCCGTAATCCAAGTTTATAAATTGGTGTCGCCTAAGATTAGTAAATCAAGCCAGTGACTTAACAGGTGTGCCTAAATATTGGGTTACACTCAAATTGTTTAAGTAACAGTAAACCTAACTAGGTCCCTAACTTACAGAAATCATTTGACAATATTAGCCTACTTCATGGGAAATAAATGGATACCACTTTACTCTTGATTTGCCAGTTTTATTTTTCAGTTCTTTTCCCTTTCTCCATACTATCTGTTATTCCATAAAGTCCTCAAGTGAAAAATTAACCTACATTTCTGAAACAAACTATCCTGTTGAGGATGTTATAGCCAAAACGGTTGCTGGGTTCATAAGAGGTGATCTAGGTAATTGGACGAGAACTTGTTTATACCAAATCAAGCATTATGCTTTGGATGGATTTTTAATCATCCTCATGTATTCATTCATTCATCTATTTTTTCCCATCCATCAATTCATTCATCCGTCATCTATGGATTCTCGATTTTTAAGATGTTGATACATTCATTCATCCATATATTTTTCTATTACTTCCTTTAATTCCAATCTATCGATCCTAAATTATTTTAGCCCACATGGTGCAGAAAAGTAGGACGTAAAACTCCATTCATTTCATTTCATTTCCTAAATTATTATGATTGTTGATATAGGCCCACTAGGCCTATTCATTCAGTAAGCCATCTATTGTTTTTCATCAATTCATTCATCCCCATCAACGAACTTATTTACTATGATGTTGATATAGGTTCAGTATCACTATAATGTAATGATAAAGGGATTATGCATTGTGAAATATGATAGTTATTATTACTATACACATTCCTACAGTTATTGTATATCAGCTACATTTAAGTCTTAAAGGGACAAAATCGCAAATTTTTGGGTGTTGACTTGTGTGTTGGCAAACCTGTCTCTTTAAAGTGCATTTCTGTATCTACAACCAAACCACACTTAAAGCCATTACAAAGGGAGAGTTTCTGGATAGATAGATTATGTCACACAGTTGTACCTAACAGTCTAAATACCCAGAATGACAATCAAATTAAAAATTTGTCCATGGTAGATTACATCCCCTTTCATTAACTCCCTGAAGCAATGGTTTTGCATTTTTTGATTATTTGTTTATCTAACTCAGTTGCATGAGAGTTGTGTTTGAATCTTATGACTACTATTCTTATTCGCAAACATACACAACTGATGATTATTATTGTGTGAATGCCACTTAATATAATACTCTAATGTATATAATATATCTTCAAACAAGGAAGAAAAGGAAGATATTGAAGCACATCTTAAAAACATAAACATTTGAAAAAGGGGCTTTTTCAGGAGGGTTTTTCAAGCTGCCTCAACTGGAATTATGTGGAAAGAGGACTTTTTTAGTAGCCATTTACAGCAAACTACAAAAATGTCTGACTTATAACTTAATCACTTATGGACTGAAATAATGATATAAGATGACTTTTTCAGTAACCATTTACAGGTAAGCAATCTTGAATAATGAGGAGAGATGACTTCCACACCCATTTACAACTGGATTGACTAAAATAATAAAGAAAGATGTAAGATTTACAGCTTGTTGGACTGGAATAATGAGCTGGGTAAAGCTGTCTAAATCAGTACCCATTTACAGCTAGGATGACATGAATAATGAGGAAAGATGACTTATTCAGAATCCATCTACAGCTAGGTTGACTGGAATATATGACTTATTCATGGTCACCAGATTATTAACAAATCTGAATTGTAGTTATAGGTGTTATAGAAGATACTCTCCTATAGAAGCACTGGCCTAGGTCACAAGTAGAGACTATGGATTTCAACAAGAAAACTATTTCAATTTAAACAGGATATATTTTACTGAAGATTATTCATAGATTAAAAGCTATCTTTTCATAAGGACAGTAAGCTCATGTGATGACAACCTTACCAAAACATGGATTCCTTAATCCAGGTCAAAACAAAATTATTAGACTTGGCCCCAGACAGATTTTCAAGTTGCAGCCCTTCAAAATCTTTCACTTTAGTGTATTTAAATACATCTCTTACTAAACTACCAGTAGACAACACTGTAACTCTGATGGCTATTGAGTCAAGATTAAGTTAATGGCCAATTGTAGGGGTTAATCCACTGCCAGAAACCAATCAAATAAAAACAACAGTAATTACTAATCCTGGATTAAGTGATTTAAAACATTTCATTACAATAATGTAGAGAAAATGATATTATCAGTTTAATTAGTTATGATCAAAATCTTGCAATGGACTTGTCAAATGGATATTTTGAAAGTATATTTTACTAAGATAAACTGTATGCTTGACCATGTACCTGTCTCACAACTTAAAAAAAATGACCTTGTGATGGATGGCCAATGAGAAAAAATCTCATTTGACCTTTACCTGACAGGTGAGAAAAGGGGTGTGGCTTAAATGATGAAAAGATCTTAATGACAAATGAAGTTAAGGTCATGTCCTAAATGGTTATAGGTGGAGCTAATGACACTCATCTCACTTGAATGACATAAGGTATTTATGTCAAAAATGGGTGTGGTCTAAGTTTTGTAGACTTCTTTCACTTAAACAAAACCGACTAGCCTTGAAGGTGCAAGTGTCAAAAAGGGTGTGTCTGAGTGGGAGGAGTCTATGCTGTCTGTCACTGAGGGAGGAAATGTTTATTTGTTGTATGTCACGGTTTGAGGGATGTGATTATAAATAGTCAATGGGTAACAGTGAACCTCAGTCAGTCTACTGATATTGAAATAGTAAACTAATAGTTATTGATCATGTTGCTCATGTGAACAGTATTTAGGACAAACTTTAGCTGTTATCAAACGGAACAGGTTGGATTTGTTTATATATGGACACCTATTCGCACTTATCTTATTTCCTTATCAAGGACATATTTCACTGTGGTTGTTTGTATTCTGTGAGTTTATCAATGGTTATAATGGAAATGACTTTCACCCTTCTTAACTTATTTTTACTTAAATCCTGGTCAATCTCTTGTCATCTCAAATTTATTTTTGATTTATTTGTTTATTTATTTTCAGTTGAGTTGAAATGGAAGATGCAGTAAACAGCTTGACCCTGGTGTGGATGATTGGAATTTTTGGATCTGTCTCCATGGTTATGGCTTCCTGCCCTGAAAAGTGCCAGTGTAATTCGGATTATTTTGTGTATTGTAAACATGCTTCCATCAATGACTATCAGCTTCGTCAAATTATGGACACTATGCCTTCAGATGTCAGACTTCTGGACCTGGGATCCAATCAAATTGTAAACATTTCTGACAACTTTTTTTTTCATCTGCCAAATTTGGAATATTTGAATCTCTCAGACAACTGGATTGTGAATGTGGAACAAGGTGCCTTTCAATCGCAGCGAAAACTCCGTGATTTAAACTTACAAAGAAATTTTGTGACACAGTTAAAGGAGGGTACATTTAAAGGCCTTGTGAATGTGAAAACTTTAAATTTGGCAGCCAATAATATTAAGAATATCGAAGGCAAGACTTTTTCCAGTTTGGATATACTTCAACAGTTGTATTTGCAAGAAAACAAACTTGATAACATTTCTAGTCACATGTTTGAAGGTCTGGATGATCTTCATTTCTTAGACTTGTCACATAATGACATTTCCACGATTGCAGAGGAAAGTTTTTTGCCATTAACTGAATTGTGGGATTTACGCTTAAACCATAATAAGCTTCAAAATGTTGATGCGAAATCATTCGATAAACAAGTGGCCATTCGTCAGTTAGATCTAAGTCATAACCAAATTGAAAATATAGACTTTTTAGCATCCTGCCAGTTTCGAGAAACAATCAGTACCATTAGTCTATCACATAATTCAGTATTTCATCTACCATTCCATGTGGTTTCAACAGTTAGACGCTTAGCAACGCTGGATTTATCCGAAAATCAGATCACCTCCATATCAGAAAGTGCCTTCTTCGGACTTTCCTTACTGAAACTCAATCTTTCAGGGAATGACTTACTAAAAATCGACCGCAACATGTTTGCAAATATGCGAAAACTTGCACATTTGGATTTAAGTTTCAATAATCTACAAGAAATTAAAACTGGTGCATTTGACAGCTTCCGTGAAACGGTTTACTATCTCAACTTAGAAAATAATTTCTTAACCGAAGTGAACACAGGGATGTTTCGTGGAATGAAAAATCTCTTGACCTTGACTTTGGATAATAATTCGATTAAAAATATCTACAAAGGTTCGTTCCAGCAGCTGGTCAAATTGGAAGAGTTAACAATGTCAAATAACAAACTAACAAAAGTGACCAACTCCATGTTGAAAGGACCTCAATTAAATACTCTGTATTTACATCATAACAATTTGGAAAAATTTTCAGAATTTACATTTGAACATCAAAAAGTAGAACTTAATGTGATTTTAAACATGTCAGCTCAGGAGCGAAATGAATCTGCAGCGCGTCTGACGTGGCCTTATCTGAAAGGTTCTCAAATTTATTGGAGAATACTTGTGCAGTGTGTGAGTCGAAATAACTGCTCTGCAAAACCACCTGGACACGAAGAATTTCTCCCGCCTTATAAAACAGAGACAGTGTTAACAGACCTAACGCCCAACTCTGAGTATTTTATCTGTGTATATCCAGTCTTTCTCAATAAGAATATAAAAGTCGAGCAATGTGTTCATTTGAAAACTCAGCCCGGACGTTCTCTGACCACAGCTACATCAGAAGAATTAAACTCTCAGGCAATGAGTCATAGTGGATTGACTTTGACTCATTACAGTACAGTGACTCTTGTACTTGTCCTTGTGTCAGTTATGTGCTCTATGTTATGATGAATACTGTCTTTTGTGTTTCTGTATGGTATGAATGTATGTGCCATTATGTGCTATGTATGCATGTTTGTATGGGTATGTGCTATAATTTGTGACTTGTTAGCATGTGTTTATGAATGTGATGATGAATTGTTATGCGTGACATTAACATGTGCTTCTTAATATGAATGTTGTCTTGTTGCGTGTATGTGTGTAACAAAATATCCTTGTTTGTATGTGTGATGACAAAATGTGTGTATGTGATATGAATCTGCATTTGTGTGAATTGTCTATGCAAAAATGTCAAAAAACTGTATGCATAAAAAATATTTGAGTTGTGTTTGAATTGTTAAATGTGTTTTATGTTATTTATAAAGTGCTAGTACAAAAATGTACAGAATATTGATATTTTGTTAAATTAATTTTTTAATAATTCATGTATACCTTCATTTTCTCTGAACATTTTCGCTGAAGTCAAAACTATTGTTAGATGGTGATGAGAACGTACACTCTAAAAAAGTGCTGGTTGGTCATAAAGTAATGATTCATGATCAAACAAGGTGCAAGTTAAAGGTTTAGATAGAAAAGAAACAAAGAAACAACTATATTTTACAAAGATTGATTTTTCCAGAGTAAAAAGTGCATAATGCAATACCATGATGCTAATAGTGAAATTATCAAATCAAGCCATATAATTTTAATCAAATTTATAATATTTTGTCTATCAGCCTCAGATGTTAATATATTTCATATTATTTATTTTTCACATCATAATCAATAAAAAATTTCAAGATATGTTTCCTGTTTTCTATTTTGATAAAAATACCAACTGTGAAATGGTACTCCATCATGCATGATGTGTCCTGTTACCTCTTTCTCTCTAAATGCAGAAGAATTTATCTGTTTTCCCAACATGTGTTAAGATTTTCCTTCATCCAATAATTCTGGTGTAGATTTATCTTCTCCCATAAGATCAGTGTTTACTTGGAGGTAATTAGCCCCTTGGAGGTATTTTTGAATTTTTTTTGGGGAGGGGTATGATACATACTTACAATTGGTTAGTATGAGTAGTTTTATAATGGAGAATATATAGTGTATATAGACGTTACACAACTGAACATTATTGCTACCTTCTCAGGTATCAACACTTTCTATAATAATGAAATGAGGTGAGCTTATTTGGGCAACCAAGATACGGAATTCTGACAGTCGTTCTCTTATGTGCTCTCTGTATCCTGACACGGATTAGGCTACACTATTTATTAGTTAGTTAGCCCTTTAAAAGCTGTCGTCTGCTAAAAACAAAATTTTTTAATCCTCCAATTTAGCTTCAAAAGAATAATTTTGTATAGGGTCTTTATGTAACAATGTATTAAAATTTTGTTTATAAAACAATCTGCAAATATGGTGCAAACCCGAACCAATTTCTCTTTCAATGAAGTCTATTAAACCTAAACTCGATATCTTTCTCACACATAACTGTTAATTTCCTCATATTTGATCAATTTTATTAAATTTCAGCCCTTTTCAACCCTTAACCCCATCACAAACACAATCTATACACTCTTATTTCATTTTATTACCCGATCTTAAAAGCTCTTCATCATCATTCAAGATGACGTCTGCTTTGATCTTAGTCAATTTCCCGCCATGGTCCAAAATTTAACACTAGCTCCTTTGGTCAACTTCACAGGGGCAGAATGCTAAATGGTGGGGTACACTTTACGTCATTATGTTGTGTAAACGTCGAGGTCCTGAAAAGTTTGTGTTTATCTGAAACCCCAAATTTGGTTCTGCAGACTACACCTCCACTCTTCAAGCCTCGAACAGACTACCTATAACTATGAATCCCCCTCCCCCCATTCCTATCTCCTAACCCCCACACCTCTGAAACGTTCACTCTATTTTGCCTCAAGCGCCATTTACGCGTGAGCGATAAATTATTACACCAATAAATTTGATGGTGTGGTACTGGTATTGTTAAGGAAGGGATAAAATCTTAGATAATTTTGAATGATGTTGTGATGTTGACCCCAATTCAGAGCCTCGAACCTTTCGAGATTTCACAAATAAATGAAACATTGTTTAACACAATGACAAACCTAAAAAAGGGATAATCCGGATTAGAATTTGTTTGAATCAAACAATATTCTAATTTAGATAGACGGGCGCTGTTCCTTGATGGTTTTGCAGATAAAATTTACAAGACTCTCGGGGACTGAAGTACTTTTATGTAAAAAATGTTAATCAAAACACATGTAAAGGTTTGCCGCCTTGTTTGAATGAGGGGTGATCGGATTAGACGGGGCACAGATAGTCGGGGGTCGCAGGTCCAGAGCAGATTATCGCATTAATCAAAGGCTATAGTGGGATTATCTGTTTGTGTTATTTTTGGAAGCGTGTAAACTACTTAATATAAAATCTTTATATAATGAACCATCAACCGATTTCCAGTTGAAAATAGTTTCAATTCCAAAATGTATGAATGTTTCACAACTACGTACGGAATGAGTATACATTGCACTGTGTTGGCCTCGATCATGAACAGAAAAGTTGGACTTAATTTTAAATATTCTTTTATTTTATCTGAAATTATATCAGCCATTTTCAGCAATACACTGTATTCTTCCAAAAGGAACAAAAAAAGTTGACATTAACCAATTTTATTTGCCTATTTAAAATTTCAGACTAAAATATAACCTTGTTTTTAGAAATTAACAAATTAGGAAACCGGCAAGCCACAAAGGGGTTAATTCGCCCAAAATTGCAGGTCAAGGGCCTTTTAAGGGTTAGTTTACAACACTTTATTAGTTACATATTCAACAACAACATTGACTTTGGCGTATTCACCGTTAGTCGTTAAATGTATTGGGCTAGATAGAAGAGCTTATTAACCCTTTCAAAACCAGACTATTTCTTTAACTCTTTCAGCACCTAGTATACTATATCACTTTCCTATCACAATATTGACTCTCGATATAACTTGCCCGACTTTGATCATTGGGTTAAGTTTTATTTCTAAATTTACATTGCCGTTATCCTTGTCCCTTTATGACGGACTCGGATATCCCAAGGCTACTTTAAGCCTTTAAAAGCTAGAAAAAAATGTCTCCGGGGCACAAGTTGTCTCAAACAATGGAACAATATTGAAAAGCATCTTTTTGGCGTGTGGAGGGTTAATTCATCTCATTTCTAATTTGTTTGTGATGATGTTTAACCCTTTATCTTGCAAGCAATTAACACTTTTCAGGCCGAGTCAACAACAGTGAACAACTCTCAAAGAAAGTTACGTACTCGTTCGCATTGATGTTGCAATTGTCTTCTTTGACAAAAACGATTGTCTGTTTTGCTTGAAAAGATCAAGGGTTTAAATAAATGTTATGTTTTACGAACTGACGAGGGTTAATGTATTAGAAACTCATTAAGGAAGCAATGGACTTTTGAGTTCTGAACAACAGCACTGTTTAAAAAGGAAAATATTTGTTTTATTTATTCTTCTTTGTGTGCAGTTCTCCGTTATATTTTCGGCGATGTTCAAACAACGGTTACATTAATGTAAGGCAGACAGTGCTCGTTGCTCGTTTGAGAAAACAGATGAATTCCAAAGATAGCTTGGAGATATTCCATACGTGGGCTTTAGCACTTAGGGGCAAATGACCCCCCCCCCCCTCCCCCCCGTCTTCTTCCCCTACCTCCCCCTCCCCCACACACACAAACACACACATAACCCCCACCACCACCACTCTGAAAAGATAACCGAAGTAACCGTTATTATTTATTCAGAATGCATCTTTTCAAGTTTCAATTTTCTAAATGTTCTTTTTTGAAAGAAAACATTTAAGATTCAAAATGAAATTTTTAAATTGATAGCAATATGTGATATGTTATCTTCTGTCGTTTTCACAAGTCTATGTTTATCTCTACATTTAATGGAAATCGTTTACTAAAATGTTATGACTTTACCTACGAATGGAATGTAATGCCTCTAAAAGCTAGGATTAGCACCGGATCAGCGAGGGGATTAACTCAGATTTGCACTTTACTGTTATCATTTCGTAGCCAAATTGACTCCGAAGGTGATTTTGCTTTTAAAATTCTTGAGTTTAGATAATAATAATAATATTTTATTAAATTATTACAATATCAATACTACCTCTTTACAATCCCTTTAATAACAAAATTATCATAGAAATTTTTTATAATTCTTTTAAGATTCATAAAGACAAAATTAAACAATGTCAAAAATATTGAATACAAAAAATAAAAATACTATTAAGAAAAATTAAAACTTAAACATTTACATAACAAAGATCATAAAATTATCAAAAGTATTTGAAATATCAAAAATGAACACATAAATTCTGTGGGGTTGAGGGAGCATACCCCTTTGAAAATTCTGTGACCCCGACACTGCCCCTTCACCTCATTATTACCGCCTGTGTATTCTGAAAATCTATCATGTATACGACAGGTTTGTTGGCCTTATGTCTCAAGGGTTAGATGTTAATGGACTCGAAACCGTTTGGGAATTCAAGTTAATTTTATAGATGTAT